CCCAACCCCCAAATTTCTACGGGGCGTGCCCCCCCCCCCCCCCCCCCCCCCCCCCCGTGGAGCTTACGATGACCTCCTGCTGCTTCTTCTTCCTCGCTCCCGGGGGCGGTTCCTCGAAATCTGTCTCGTTCTCGAAGGCCTCCAGGGTGCGTGACTCCTTCGAGGTGAAGTAGAGGAGCTTCATCACGAACTTGAGCAGCAGGTTTGCACCGAGACTGCGATGGCGATGGCGGTGATGTGGTGGCGGTGTGGGGCACGGAGTAAACAAAGCGCGGCACAAGGACGCCACCAGAAACAAGAGTGCCACGTCAGAACTGCACAGGACAAATAAACCACGATGACTGCTGTATCGAAAATAAAAAAAATAATTCACAGCAGCAGTAACCTTCGAACTACAGCGACGCCACCAGAAACAAGAATGCTACCTAAACGGTACAAGGTCAACAAAAATCACGATGACTGCTGTATCGAAAAAACAACACATATTACATCCACCGAAAAAAAAAAAACATGCCACACCTGCACGCCGTCAGCTGGGAGCAATCGCACAGGTCCGAGGCCATGGCGACCATGTCGAGTAGCGACACCTCAAGCGACCCCGCGTCCCTGCACACGCCTTCCACGTTGTGCGCCTCGTCGAGGATCACCACGGCCCCCTCCAGCGCGAGCGACATCGCCGAGCGAACCGAAGGGTCCTGGATAGAATTTGGAAGTGGCAGCGCGCAGGCCGGGGGGGTTCTATTTTCCTCCACTCCCCTCGCCTTAACTGGTACACGCACTAAATAGTAGGTACTCACGTACGTCTAGATATCACTCTCGATTCTACAACAGTCGTACACCTTTGTCCCGAAGATCACGGCAGGCGACGTATCGTTTCGGGGGGAATATCATCATCCTGTTACCATCAAAAGAAGGAATTCAACTTAAGGAACCTGGGGTGTGAGAGCGAGAGCGAGAAAGGTGGGCTACTTACTGGTTGAATGCATCGCGATACCGAAGTAGTAGTAATCAGGCCTTCAGCAAGGAAAACATAGTCTCAAGGAAACACCCTTATTCGTGCACTGCTCAAGTTAGACGGGAGGTGGGCTACCAATCCTACACAAACGTGGTATCAATGTCCGGAGTAATCTCTCCGCTGAGCGTCTAACCAGCCCTCGTGATACAGCAGGGGGGTCAAGAGTGCCTGGGGGGGGTGGAGGATAAGAGTCAGCACCGTCTCCAAACGCCCCCCATACTACCCGCCTACGAAGGGGTTGCGCCGAATCAGCAGAGCAGCACACCCATATACCACGCAGGTCGAGGTCTTGGCAGCTGGTACGACTGATGCACACAGGTAGGTCTTTCTAGAGACGGTTTACGACGACAAAAACTCCCGAATATTTTTTCGCGACAAAAACAGCAGAAAAGCGCAACAAAAACAAATTCATCATTTCTCGAGCTCTCGATCGCGCTCACCAGGATGTAGTTGTAGGGCATCAGGACGATTTGAGCCTGCTTGGCCAGTGCCTGTCGAAATCGTTAGTTTGACCCCACACACCCACGGAACAGGCATTGGGTATGCAGCGAGGCGGTCATGCACCACGAAATTTCGTTCCAAGCCGGAAAGAAGCAAAGGATGGTTGATGGAAATCACGAGCGAATGACTGCGGGCTACAAGAGTAACGAGAGCCAACAGAAATAGCGCATTGTCTGTAGTGGTTTTCGCACAAGACGTGGCCAAACCATGACGCCTAGACAACGTCCCATTCTTGGGAAGGTGAAAACGCTTCCGTTTCCGACAACAGCACGCAAATCGAGATCTTATCTGGTCCAACCGGACACAATACCACTCGTCCTGTGCCATCCTGGACTGAACTACCGCGCCCTCTTTTCGTTCACATCGCACGCAGGCAACACAGACAGACAGACAGACAGACAAGACAGACAGACAAATCAGACAGAAACGACAGATATACCATGGACAAGTAGTAGGGGCACGCGAGCAAATGGGGATCCGCCTGGTCCCCCTTCGTCTCCGACACGCCTTGTCCTCCTCCTCCTGCTGCTGCTGCTGATGTTGCTGCTGCTGCTGCTGCTGCTGTGGAGTCCCCCGGCGAGGCCACGTCCACTCCTGTGCCTCTTCCCGCCGAACCCGCCGCTGACACCACAGATCCCGCCGCTCCCGCCCCGACGTCATCATCATCCGAAGTATCGTACGAGAGATCAACATACCCTGCAGAAGCTGCTGCGCTAGCCCCACCACCACCACCACCACCACCGACAGCAACACCAGCAGGATGCGTAGCCCTCAATGGTTCACCGCCGTTTCTGCCGCATCCGCCGCCGCACCCGTCGCCACCTCCGCCGCCGCCGTGGGCTCCGCTGCCGCAGCCTCCGGCGACTCCCCTGCCATGCCCGCTACCGCAGCCACCACGCTGCCGTGCTCGCCCCTCGGCCTTGGCCTTGACCTTCGTTTCGCCGGACAACGCCTGCAGCGGGTTTCCGCAGAAGGCCCGGAGGTCCTCAATGGCGTGGGTGCCTGTGGTACACAGATGAGACTTAAACAGGGTCGGTACACTCTGCTGCTGGGTGATGGCGCACTGGCTGCACACAAATGGGACGACTAAATATGGTTGGGCGCACTGATTGCACACAGCATACAAATGGAACTAAGCATGGTTGATACATCCTTCTGCTGGGTGATGGCACACTGTCAACAGATGGGGCTTAACAAGGTTGGTACATTCTGCTGCTGGGTGATGGCACACTGGCTGCACACAAATGAGGTTCGTTGCTTTCTACCGAGCTCTCAAGCACACAACGCGGGGATAGGAGTCCTACAGAGCTTACAGAAAGCAACAGAATGGGACGAGGTCAACACCCTCCCCCCCCCCCGCCCCCGCCCGCCCCCGCCCTCGCTCACCGTCGTGGCCGCCGGCAAGGCCCACCCTCGGCCGGGCAAATTCGTGCGCGGCGCGGGTCACCTTCGGCGCGGACATGGAGCGGTAGAAGGGGCACGCTGCGTGTTCCTTCTCCTTCTCGGTCAGTCTGCGAGGTGATGGAGAAGGAGACAAGCAAACAGAAAACAATCGAAAAATAAATAAATGCTGTAACAGGAGGACAGGCGTGGAAACGTCGGTGTGAGACAGCAACAGCAGCAGTTCCCAATGGCATCGAAGGCAAGGATACTTCGTGACCAAGCGACGCTGGTCGTTGCTGTAGGGACGAAAAAAGCACTGCGCCGTGCAGCGTGGCGCTAGGGCGGGGGCGCCGTATCACGTGCATACCTGCCCTCGATGTTGGCGAGGTCAAGGGTGAGGTCGGGGGCATCTTGGTCGTAGGGGACCCGTCCGCCTCCGGGAAGGTTAAGGAATTTGTTGTGCTTTCTCTGCCTATCCACCTGTAGTAGCATAGCGGCAGCAACGCAAGAGGGAAAAAAGAAAACGATGACTTAAGACTCGTCATCAGCAAGACGAAGAGGCTCGCAGTCAGCAAGACAACAGAGGCAATCACGGCCCCTGCACAACAATAATCAACAGCAGCACGAACACAGGGGTCACGCGAAAAGCAACAACGGAGGCGTACCGGCGAAACAAGAACCAACAAGGCGTCGCACACAAACAAAACAAACAACAACCGTAAGGAAGATGTTGCACACGCCAGCACCACCCAACCATCAATTTTCAACAAATGGAACCCACGTAACACAGGTACAAACGAGTCAACCCTATTGTTGAGGTTTGTCCGCGTTATTGTTGAAGTTTGTCACCATTTTGGGGTCAAAACCAACCGAGCAACGATAAAAAAAAACAGCGCGTCGGCGAAAACCACGGGTAGGCAAGTGAGGTACGTGCATCACCCGACTTACTTACCTTCGATCGCAGGGCCTGGCAAGACTCCTGCATGCTACTGTTCGAGTTGCGTTTCTGTCGCCGCCGCCGTCGGCCGCCGCCCCCCCTAGACCCCCCTCCCCCCCCCCGCCCACCGGCTCCAGCACCACGGCCCCCCCGCCCCCATCCGGTATCATTGCTGTCGTCGTTGTTGTCTTCGTCTTCGTCTTCGTCCGATGGCTCGTCGTCTTTCGCAGCCCCGTCGCCGACGACCATGGGGTTGATGCACAGGCGCGCTCTTTTTTTGTGTGTGCCAAGTGGTGAAGCGGGTGATGGGTGGGGAAAAGCGGCGAGTCAACGGTGCCCCCCCGGTGGGAGGAGAAGGGGGGAAGGAAGCAGAGACCATGAAAGGGCCGTCTGCTGCACGAAATTACCGCAAGAAACGTACTGCTACCCAGATATACTGCTACCCACGGAGCAGAGAAGTGAGTATTCTGGGCTGACGCACACGCAGATAAATCTGCCACTCTCCGTGAAAACTAGGGCCCATTGGAATATTCTCGGTTGTATTCGAATGGTCCTTGTATGCATAGTTCCAAACAGGCATAAATGGTTGTTCTGGAATACAAATGGGGGGTGCGGGAGTAAGCATCAGACACTAAATAGAGTCAAAGCGCTTGAAACACGTCGAAGCACACAACTTATCGCCCGACGCGTGCGTTGGTTGAGACGACGCTTTCACGCACCGCAGACCGAAACAAATATATATATATACAAGTTTTTTTGCGGCTTACGCCGCCACGCCCAATGGAGCGAGTCCCGAGGTACACGGGGACGGTACGTGTGGGGATCGTGGAAGGTTAAATGGAAGTTATGTGTCGTTGAGGATGCCCGTTTGACGTGCATTTCTGTCTGTCGTGTGACAACATGATAGATGATCGCTTCAGTCTTGCCTCCCATGATCATGTTATTGCCCATAAGATCTTGAGTGTAAGATGAAGAGCTTCGACAGAAAAACGATGGCTCACTGGGATTTCGTCCCAAACAATAAGGTCACACTTCCGTAATACTTCTGCTCGTTGCGATTCAGCGGGTATATTGCACGTCGCACCGCTGACATTGTTTTCATCCAGTGGTAGTTTGAACATGGAGTGCGCAGTCCACCCCCCAGGTAGTTGGAGACCTGCGATACCCGTACTCGCAACACGGAGCACTAATTTACGAAGTGATCGTCGGTGGGCGCATAGTACGCTCTCCGTGTATGTCTTTACCGTTTCAGCAGGCGCGTCTATCATAAATATATACGTTAGACGAACCTGGTGACACGCTGGTAACGACGCTATCGTAAACATGACGTTGCTCGGCGGTGAAGTTTGGGAGATGCTCGGCAACAAACATGCGCATTATCTCCGGATCAAACATGTGCTTGAAACGCAAGTACTCCGTGTCTAGATGGATTACGGCAGGCAGTCCAACGATTACGTTGGTGCGTCCATGGTGCTGTAACCCGAGATCGATTTCGCGAAGGGCTGCGTTATCGGCATCGAGATCGGTCATGGACATGCGCAAATCTGCCGTGATTTCCTTGTTGAAATGCTCCCATAGAAGTTTTGCAGGTGCGCCGTCAAGAATATTATGAGCGTAACAAATAGCTGGCGCAACCGTCTACCCGTCTTGAAAATAATGGCCTCCTCTAGGCATACTTTGTGTTTGATTATATACCCATGGCTCTAGCGGCGTCCTGAAAGGTGTCATACACAACGTCTTCGTGAGTTCGTAATTGCTGAAATGATCTTGGGGGCTTGTGGTGTAGAAGTAAGCGCAGGTAAAAAACGTCACCTTTATCAGAGGGGACATGGCCGACACACGTGCGACATGCTTTTCAGATGAACGTGGCGTAACAAAATTGCGGTATGTATCTCTATAGTATACGCATTTTGTGCGCGCTTTCTCCTTCTTGACTATGTACATTTCGTTGTAGTCGAGATACGTAAGCATGTTGAATTCCGCTTGGTGCTGGGCGGAGTAGACGCAAAAATGTTGTACGACGCCATACTCGAGTGCGCGAGAGAATGGTGTGGGATGGAGTGGGAGCTTGCGCGGACGGCGCGAGGGCGCGCGTGAGCGGGAGCGAAAACCCTAAGAAGATCTACCGAAGCTCACCGCCCGTTGACCGAACGCCGATGGATTCCGGAAAAAGATTCCGGAAAAAGATATTCACATGAGAAAAGATAAAGATATGTTATTCATATGAGAAAAGAGCCGCACACACGTGCAAAATAATCCACGTGTAAAAATTATAGGTATTATTGTGTGTGTGACAGAGGGAGATAGAGAGAGACAGAAAAAGAGAGACAGGAAACAAATGAGAGAGGGAGAGGGCAGAGAAAGACACACAGACAGGCACAGAGACGGAGAGAGAATCACAGATACAGACAGAGAGAGAAACGGGGAAAATATATATATATACCTGGTACCAAAATAATAAAGTTGTACCGCCCATTCGGACTCTGGTTCCGATTCTAATTCCGAGAGAGGACAGAGAGAAAAAGCGCCGAAGAGAGAGAGAGAGAGAGAGAGAGAGCGTCTCTCACGACTCGACGGACGGCAAGACAGCGAGACCGGTAGAGAAAAAAGAAGGCAGAGACGAAAGACGACACTCTGGCACGCAGACAAACTCGCCTCGCAAAAGGCAATCGACACACCTACACCCAGGACAGTCCTATATGGCGACACGCAGCCTATAGTCTCGACCACCAATAAGCGACAACGACCGCACCCAATGATACGCGTACGACTAAGGAAGGGACGAACTCCCACGCGTCCGACGCAACAAAGGTCATTCACACAGCAGGCGTGTACCTACGGTAGCACGCAGGCACATGCACTTCGTTCATGGTGCCGATTACGCGAAGGCGACACGCTTAGGTCCAAAGGAACGATAAACGCCCACGCGTCCTAAGCAACAAAGGACAGCAGGCGTGTAACAACGCACGCTAGTGCGCAATTTGCAACTCCGACAAAACGATGGCTAGCGCGTAGCTCACGCGCAGAGGAAGCTGCAATCGTGAGAAAGCAATACCATTGCTGCCGACTTTAGTCTTGAAGCGAATGCGTGGGATGAGAACGAGCGTTGAGAGACCGTCTAGTAGTTCTACATGCACAATTCGTGTTTGAGAATCCACGAACGATAGCCTTCTGACCATTGACCAAGCCCTGCTTGAAGTTTATAGGTTTCGTGTGATCATGACAATGCAGTTCAGTTTCAAATCCAATGCATGAGGCGGTACACCAGAGACGTCAGTAGCGTGGAGGTCAGCTGCGGCAACGAAACCCAAACCGTCGTCAGTCGCGTCAGCATCGACGGTGTCACAACTGTATGCTGTGAGAAGGTCTCCTGGAAGGATGTCAAGGACGTGTGCGTTAATGGTGTCTATGGTAGCGTTGGTTGACGAAAGGATGGCTCTAGCCTTGAACTCAGTCGGGTCGGCGTCGAGAATGTCCGGATGCACGAAATTGATCAATTCTTCAAAATAGTCTGTGTTGTCAAGGACGAATCGTTCAGAGGCTATGTTTGGCATGCTATGAACGTATGTCAATGGCACGGCATCGACGCCGTCGTCTGTTGTAACATGCGGTTGGGTACCAACACCGATATTTCGGACGAACGCCGCGTACGCTGCGTCCTCTCGATCGCGCTGCGATATGGTAAGACGCATACGATGTACATGTTTCCAAAGCGGACTAGAAATGATGGACGCATCAATTGTTTCCGCGGGCCCGCCATGTTTGACGACAGGCCCTATCTGGCGTAGATCACCGCTTAGCGAGATATTCTTTCTTCCCATGATAATGTTATTGCCCATAAGATCTTTGAGTGTAAGATGAAGAGCTTCGACAGAAAAACGATGGCTCATTGGGATTTCGTCCCAAACAATAAATTTCGTCCCAAACAATAAGGTCACACTTCCGTAATACTTCTGCTCGTTGCGACTCAGCGGAGATACTGCACGTTGCACCGCTGACATTCTTTTCATCCAGAGGTAGTTTGAACATGGAGTGCGCAATCCACCCACCAGGTAGTTGGAGACCTGCGATGCCCGTACTGGCAACACAAAGGGCTAATTTACTGAGTGATCGTAGGTGGGCGCATAGTACGCTCTCCGTGTATGTCTTACCCGTCCCAGCAGGCGCGTCTATCATAAATACGTTAGACGATCCTGATGACACGCTGTTTACCACGCTATCGTAAACATGACGTTGCTCGACGGTGAAGTTTGGGAGATGCTCGGCAACAAACATGCGCATTTGCTCCGGATTGAACATGTGCTTGAAACGCAAGTATTGGGTGTCTCGATGGATTACGGCAGGCAGTCCAACGATAACGTTCGTTCGTCCATGGTGCTGTAACCCGAGATCGATTTCGCAAAGGGCGGCGTTATCGGCATCCAGATCGGTCATGGACATGCGCCAATCTGATGTAAAGTCCTTATTGAAATGCTCCCAAAGAAGGTTGGCAGGGGCTCCGTCAAGAATGAGCGTAAAAAACAGCTGGCGCAACTGTCTACCCAGCAAGCGCCACGCAGATTCAGCAGCTGAAATGTATCGCGCTGAACGGCAGGCCTCTATTTCATCGCCGTCGCACAGGATCTTAGCCTTGATAAAGTCTGCGCCCTTGTTAATGTATTTGTAAATGTATTGAACTACTGCCGCTGCTGTACAGACGTCAAAACACATGTGGCAGTTGTTTTGGAAAGCAGCCAAATGTTGTACGGAGCGATTCACTGGTTTGTGGCGAAAGACTCTAGGAAATTGCCATTACCTTTGTGCGCGAAAACCCTAAGAATATCCGGACACCACCTAACGAACCTCATGCACCGCTCGTTGACCGAACCCCGATGGATTCCGAAAAAAGATATCATGCGACACACGTGTAAATAGGTATTATAGGTATTATTGGGTGTGACAGAGAGAGATAGAGAGAGACAGAAAAAGAAAGAGATACAAAACAAAGGAGAGAGTGAGAAGGCAGGGAAAGACACACAGACAAAGAGAGAAACGGAAAAAAAATAGAAAAAAGTTGTACCTCCCATTCCGACTCTGCTTCCGATTCTGCTTCCGACTCTGATTCCGAGAGAGGAGAGAGCGAAAAAGCGCCGAAGAGAGAGAGAGAGAGTGAGAGACTGAGAGTGTCCCTCACGACGGGAAGGACGGAAGGCGAGACAGCGAGGCCGGAAGAGAAAAAAGAAGGCAGAGACCAATGGAATGGTATTGGAGAAGACCGTAGAGCTCATCGGACCGAAGGCACTGCCCTCCGAGCGACAAAATTGCGAAAACTGCAAAATGCGAAATGCTGGCCTGTGAGTGCTCGAACGGTCGGTACTTCACTCTGAAAGCAAGTGATTAAGCGTGGTGGCCTGAGAGCACTCGAGAGAACGATCCCTGGCCCACAGAAAATGCTGCGATTCTAGGAAAAAGATAAACGAAATAAAGATTCCGGAAAAAGATATTCATATGAGGAAAGATGAAGATATGTTATTCATATATATGAGAAAAGAACCGCACACACGTGCAAAATATGTGTGACACACGTGTAAAAATTATAGGTATTATTGTGTGTGTGACAGAGGGAGATAGCGAGAGACAGAAAAAGAGAGACAGGAAACAAATGAGAGAGGGAGAAGGCAGAGAAAGACACACAGACAGACACAGAGACGGAGAGAGAATCACAGATACAGACAGAGAGAGAAACGGGGAAAAAATAAATATACCTGGTACCATAATAATATAGTTGTACCGCCCATTCGGACTCTGGTTTCGATTCTAATTCCGAGAGAGGAGAGAGAGAAAAAGCGCCGAAGAGAGAGAGAGAGAAAGAGCGTCTCTCACGACTCGACGGACGGCGAGACAGCGAGACCGGTAGAGAAAAAAGAAGGCAGAGACGAACGGAATGGCATTGGAGAGGACGATAGAGCACATCGGACCGAAGGAACTGCGCTCCGAGCGTCAAAATTGCGAAAACTGCAAAATGCGAAATGCTGGCCTGTCAGCGCTCGAACGGTCCGGACTGCACTCTGAAACCAAGTGAATAAGCGTGGTGGCCTGAGAGCGCTCGAGAGAGCGTTTCCCGGCCGGGAGAAAATGCTGCGATTCTAGGAAAAAGATAAATGAAATAACTGTTATATATATTTGGAGGTCGGGAGAGCGCAAACCCAAGCTCAACCATCGTCGCCGTAATCGTCTCACCTAGAACCCAGGGTCGCCATGGTCGGACAGTACGGCGAGCTCTTGACAACCCTCACCATCTGCTCGAGCTGTGTGTGCGTCCTCGCGCCGTAAAATATCTGCGGAGCCTTGCCCGTCCGAAAAAGCTCATCGCGCTGCGCGGCGTATTGGTTGATGTTCGGCCCCAACATGGTCACACGGGGGGGTTTGGGGGGTGATCGTTGCGAGTTGCGTTAAGCGCCGCGCGGAACATTCGGGATTGTGCGAACGGCGGGGTTAGGGTTGAAGAATGGAAGGGGTGCGGTAGGAATGACACGCGCTTTGATGTGCTTTTCGTGCCGGTTGGCGAACAACAGAACGCGTCCATGTCTTGGTGCAACCAAACACATTCTCCAACCCTTTACCGAATCCCTTCAATGTTCCATCTACACTGCTGTCGTCATTAGGAGTGAGTGTCGAGGCTACGCATACCAACCCTGCACTTGTGCCCACCTCAAGGAACGCAAATCCCTCGGGCTGGGGGGGGGGGGGGGGGTTGACGGTTGATCACTGTATCCTTCAAAGTGCCGCCGCCTTGCTTGCTGCCAACCACTGCAAAGGAAGGGGCGGAGAACCTGCGGGGTGGTCAAGTCCGAGCCCCCACCACGGCTACAGAACACTAAACACACGTTGTACCGCTTTGTTATTGGTGTCTCTACGCCCCACGGACTGTGTGTGTGTGCGCCCGCCTCGATCTGATCCCACCGCACCGCACCGCACTGCACCTGCCATGCCAGGGACGCGCACAGCATGGCGGCCGACTTTCCGGTCCCCGTGGGAGACTCAAGCAACGCGTGTCTCTTCGACTTGAGGGCCGCGATGATTCGCTGCATCATCTGCCGCGTGCCGGAAAAAAGAAAAAGAGAACAAAATTTCAGGGCACGCACATGTGTGTGAGTTGCGCCCCGGGAAGAAAGTGCGTACCGCATGAAAGGTCATTATCGTGCAACAAGCTAAAGAACGAGAAACAGAAGGACGGCGCCGGCGAGAGAGAGAGAGGGAGAGAGGGAGAGAGGGAGAGAGGGAGAGAGGGAGAGAGAGAGAGAAAGAGAGGGAGAGAGGGAGGGAGGGAGAGAAACAGACGGAGAATGAGAGCCAGAAAGATAGAGACAGAGGGAGAGAGAGAGAGAGAGAGAGAGAGAGAGAGAGAGAGAGAGAGAGAGAGAGAGAGAGAGAGAGAGAGAACAGGCGACGCCCTCCCCCCAGAGGAAGAGGGGTCTCGACAAATCGGGCGCGAGTGGTGCGTGCTTGCGCATCTTGTGCGTGTACAACGGACAGTAGCGCAGGTAACATGAGCGCGCGGAAAACAAGAACTCCGTCTTGAACGAAAAAAGTCATCGTTTCGAGGACAAGCAGCTTAAGAGAAAGACAACCAGCACGAACCCCATCTACACGGCAAAAATAACGCGGCACGACACATGCAGCACTGCCGCTTGCACAAGCGCTTCGCCAGACGATCTCTCGCGGGGTGGCATCATCGCACCTGGTCCTGCGGAACCATGGGCGTCTCGAACGGAAACTCGACCTTGATCCCGTAGTAGTTCTTGGGGGGGTCTCCAAGCTGCCGGGAGGCGTCCATGTCGCAGGGGGCGGACACCGCCGACACCGGGACACTACCACTGTCCTCGGCGGCGGCAGCGGCGGCGGCATCAGCGGCGGCGGCATCAGCGGCGGCGGCAGTAGCGGCGGCGGCAGCGGCGGCGGCTGCCTCATCATGTTTGTGCCCCAGGCCTCCGGTGTCGCCCCCACGTTCTTGGGCCCCCGCCCTGAGCTTGCCCACCAAGGTGGCCATGTACTCGATCTCGCGGGACTCGCTCCTGCCGTCGAAGCCTGTCCTCTGTGTGCGTGCGTTTCGGGTGACACGCAGTCAGGGGAGGGGGAGGGGGGTGCTCATAGTCGTGCATGCCGTAGTCGTTAGACCATTGACCTCGCATCCCTACAAAGCCGGGACGGAGCATGCCGGGTTCTCACCGGACCAGGCTCTCACATCACCAAGCGCGAAACGCCGTGAGGTAATCAGTCATGGGACGAGGAGGGGCATGTCGAGGTCCGGGTCGTACGTTAGATTCGAATCTTGGTTCCAAAAAATGTTCGAACATCGTGATTGGTGTGGGTCAGGGAGGTGGTGGTTGAAATGCGGTCAGGGGGGAGACGGGGGGGCACACCGAGGTCGGAGCCGTACACTCCAGTTTGGTTATGATTATCATACCCGTATATCGTGTTAAGTGTGGGTTCGTCCAGCGAGGGGTTGGTTCACTACCTCTGAATCTGGAATCTCTTTCGAGTTATGTTGCCGTTCACCGCCCCAACAAGTGGGGTCCGGTAAAGAGCAGAGGGAGCATTCGTCCCAAAACCCATCGGAATGTCTGAACTTGATCCCTCCTCCTGTTGCGGCTGCTTTGCTGAGCGACGGGAAAGACATTTTCAGCCTTTGAAGCTTCCCTCGCCAAAGTCAATGTTGGTTTTTGCTACTATAGAAGGATTCGGCCGACAGTGCAACGCCAGTTATTATTGTAGACAACGGGAGTCAGATAGAGCGTCGTACGAACACAAAGTCGCCGGATGAGTCCAGCACCGTCCGAGTCCCTTACTCTGTTCCTCAACACATCTTTCCCGCTGCCACATGACCGCAGCAGCGCTTCTCATGAGATAATCGCAGGTGGAAAAAGCGACCGGGGTTGACAACGACCGTCCGTGCCTGGGCTTGTTAACACATGCCGCGACCGTCACTTGCTTCGCGAATCGACGGAGCACCGCACCGCCCGGTGGTGTACCGTAAGCCTTGCCATGTATGCTAAAAAAATCTCGCGCCTGCATCCAACATACCTCAAGAAACCTCGAGCCAAACTCCTTCGTGTGTTTCTCGAAAGCAGCAGGCCTGGCAGCTTTCGGCTGCAGCACCTTCGGCAAATTCTCCATGCGAGGATAGGGAGATCTCTTGCGCGTTCCCTCCAGTTCGCCATCCCCAGCAGCGCCACCGCCACTGCCATCGTTGCCACCGTCACAACGACCACCAACACTACCGCTCACATCCCTGCACCCCGTTCGGGCTCCATTTGCGCTCCCGCTAGCGTTAGCACTACAGGGTCCTCGTTCGTTGCCACGGACACCGTTGCCGCTGCCACAACCATCTCCAACACCACCGCTCCCATCCCTGCAGCCTGTCGAAGCTCCGCTTGCACTCACGCTAGGGCTAGCGCCACTGGCCCCACCTAAGTTACCACCACCACCACTACCACCACCACCGCTGCCGCTGCCGCCGCCACAACCATCACCAACACCACCGCTCCCATCCCTGCAGCCCGTCGAAGCTCCGCTTGCACTCCTGCCAGGGCTAGCGCCACTGGCCCCACCTAAGTTACCACCACCACCACCACCACCACCACCACCACCGCTGCCGCTGCCGCCGCCACAACCATCACCAACACCATCGCCTCCATCCCTGCAGCCTGTCGGAGCCTCAATAGCACTCCCGCTCCCGCTAGCGCTAGCGCAAATGCTACTGGTTCCACCTGCGTAACCACAACCACTGCTGCTGTCGCTGCCGCTCACGAGGGCTATCGGGGGGAGTGGTGGTGGGGGCGACGGCGGCAGCTTGTCACCCCTGGCAGCAAGAGCAGCGTCGGCGGCCGCGGACCGGGTTTTTTCGGGAGCGGCGGGTACCCGGTAAGATCCTGGTGTCTGTGCGGAAAGATCGGTGGTGGGGGGGGGGGGGTAGGGGGGCATTAAAATCGCAATTTAGAAAGAAAAAACTCAAAGTATGCCCAGTTTCTAGCCGGTTTCCCTCCACTCACTGAAAATACTTGAGCACATCCCTTTCGACTGTTAGGGTTGCACCTCGAACTGGCAGTCTTCCTGTCTTTCTGTGAACTCATGTTTACTCTAAAAAAAAAAAACGCCTTGGGAGAGGAATGCAAGAAGCCGTCTTTCAAACCAACATCCGCATCCGTTGTGCTCCAGTTGTGATTTTGAAAGGGGCAGATACTTTGTGGGAACATGAAGCAGCGGTCGCCATTACACCAAAGCATACCCCAACGCTACTGCTGCTGCTGTACTTTGCTCACGAGTCGATAGCGCTCGCTGTTGTCTGCGCAGAGATGTTCCCTCAGCGCCACGCCCAACGCGTCCTTTATCATCATGTCTAGGTTCTGCTCCGCTCTCGCTTCGGCCCTGGCAGCGCCACTGGCAGCGCCAGCTGAAGGATCACCACGTCTCCTCAACAAACGCCCTCCAGCGCGTGTGGGAGGAGGCCCGGAACGATGCCCATCGCCGGTGTCACCGCGATGTTGTTGGTTTCGATAGTGCTGGTGGTATCCGCGGCCGGGCCCCTGTCCCCTCCCATGCCCATGGTGTGCAGCAGGAGTCCCTTGACGATTGTTGTGGTGGCAGGCCACGCTACCCGCGGACCCGCTTGATGATGCACACCGAGCGGAAGCCTGTCGCTGCGGCTGCCGCCGCCCCTCGTGACGCCAGTGCTGTTGCTGCGTGGAGATTGTAGTGCTGCATCTGCTGGGAGCCGGGTCACTGCTACTGCTGTGAGAAGGTTGTGTTGGAGCGAGGTATAGGTCGTCTCCCTGCTCTTGCGTAAGCTGGTCAAATTCTGCTTGCTGATCCTCCGTGAGTCCGTCGATGGAGTTCATGGAGGTTGTCTGCTGTGCCGCCCCTGTATATCTGCATGTACATCAACGTCCGTTGCAGTGTTTTGCCCGAGCCAACCTTGGGACCTTGGGTCGCGTGTTTGAATATTTTAGTGTGCGCGCCTCCGGTACACCAAGCTGGATTCCTTCTAGAAGCACATACGACTCGTGCTGCACGACTGCTTTTGCCGTGCCTGCAGAAGGGAAGGTGCCTGGAGCAAGAGAGCCTCACACCAGTAGGCAGTAGGCGAGTACGAGGCAGACACCCAGGCACCCAGACAACATGCAGGAGCAACAAATGCGGGGTGATCATGGGGGTGACGCAACTGCTATTCATGATTGCACTTGCACATACGCGAGTGGTGTATGTCTGCACGAGGCCCCGGAAACTGGCTCTCTTTAAGACTCCCCTCTGCCCTGCTATCTGCACACGTCTCGGTCTTGCTTGGCCGGTCTCGTGGTCTCGTCGACTCAATACCCAAATCCCCTTTCATTGTGCAAGATGACCATGCGATTCTCTGCCTTTGGCCTCGGCCAGAGCGCGCCACCGCAACCGCCGAAAGTGTGAGTTGAACACAGCAAAGATCTCGCGTAAAGATACGCATCCTCTCAATCGTTATCATGTTGATGCGCCGTCCGTCGAACGAAGTAATTCAAAGCGACATTCAATTCACGCTCCAACTGAACGTGGGATCCTAGTGGTGCTGTTCCTCCAAGAACGCCGTGTTGTGACCATGCGCCTCGATCGCCACGAAATGGTCACAACAGCATTCATTCCCCTTGAAACGCGCGTGCAGCAGGAAAAAGGAGCCTCCTCTGCCGATAGAAATCCAGCTTGGATCCAACACGGTCGAGCTTACGCCCCAAGGCTGGAAGCTAGGTACGAAAGATTGTTCGGTAATGTAATGTTATACGACAGTTGGGGACGGAGGATGTTATGGGAAGATCCTAGTCTATACAGACCACACACACACGTGGTTTATGTACATATAGTGCGGTGTAGCGTAAATGCCGGCGTATGTTAGGTTGAGTTTCTTGCTTACCCGAGGGCTCTAGACTATAGCATTACTTGAAGGCCGGTTATAGGACCCCTCCGTCTGCACGGCATGATGCCGTGTTGAAAAGCATTGATATGTTTTCTTTAGGAGGGATGAGTCCCCGCCGGCTACTGTTTACCTGTGTACAATACAGTAAGTAGAAACGTTTGACGTGTGCTGAAATCGGTTCTGACGAATCAAACGGTAACACACCCACAGATTCTCGGGAGCTCGCCACCGCTCAAGGGGAGTGTAAGCGATTGGAGAAGGAAGTCATGGAGCTCCGGAGAGATTTAGAGAACTGCCGGAAAGACGCAAAGCAATCGGCAGAGCAAGAGAACATGGCTAGCTTTCAAAACCAGCTGCTTATCGACATGGTGAGCGGGATCAACATCAGGCAGGATAGAGCGTACGTTTTCGTACCGGCACGTGATGATACCGACCGGCGTGCGATCGTTTTCGAACCATGCCTTTCTCTTTCTTTGTCATCGGATCCTGGTGACATAACTCCGGGGTTATCTATCACTCGCCCTTTCTACGATGTCTTCCCTAGACTACATCGCAACACTACGTGTTTGCCTGCTTCCCTGAAATGCAGCGTGCCCTGCGTCGTGCCTTGATCATATTGTATGTATGGCATCTGTACGCTATAGCTACCGGGTGGAAAAATCGCATCGTCCACAAAACATGTCACCCCACCGAGGCAAGGGTCGAAGACCAGCTGTTATTGTGTTCTATTAACACGGGCAGAAATATCTATTGACGTGCTACTATTATCGATGCTGCGGTCGGTATTGAAGGCCCTCTGACTTCTGATTCGACCTACCCATTTGTTTACAGATCTGCCGTTCGTGGTAAGGACTGCTGTTTTTTCTGCAGGCAGAGAGATCTAAAACGAAGATCACCCGGTTCATTAACCCTCTTGGGAACCATTACGAGTCTATTTTACGCGAAACCCCTCCGACACCTACTGCTTTACTTTCTCAATCGCATGCAGCTCGCTGTTGCACGTGCGGACCAGGGAAATTTCAGAATAAGACTTGAGCAGGAGAGCGCTCGACACGCGGAGCTTTCCCGAAGTTTGGAGCAAGCGTACACCAAGCTTCTTGCGGCGGGACTCGACCCAGGAGTGTCTGACGCGCCTTAAAAGGGTCTGCATCTCCATTCTCTGGCGCTAACTTGGGAGCGTCGGTTACCACGCAACGATAACTTGCTGGGCGACCGATGTTGGTCTCAGGCTGGGAACTTTTGAAAAACTATTTCGCGTGAAGGCCAATTGCCGCGCGTGCAATAGCATAACCAGTCGTTTGCAGTTGCCCAAGTTGTCTTCTTCAGAGCACAAACAACAGAGGATGGCCCGACGCAGGCAGCTCAAACATGCGATATGTGTCCTCATGTCCTTTCTGCTGACACGTAAACGCCGGAGGGTTGAACAACAATAGATAACTTCATACATTGTTCAGTTTGGATTACATTGAACAAAGCCAGGCCATGACGACCGCAGACTGGTCCGTCTTGGTCAGCCTTAAGGATATTCCTTGTTGTACCATCCGGAACGTTACATCTGCATAGAGGATTATGGCTGGGTTATGGCTGGGGAGAGGAAACGTACATGCGAGAAGGTAGAAAGACAAGACGACGGGCTGTTTTGGGAAGTAGGGATCGTTGGGTGGGGACGGGCGGGAAGCGATCTGCCATTCCCGAGCCGCTTTTTGTTCTGGAGTAGCAGCAACAGAAGCTGAAAGGAAGAGCAATCACTGCGATTCCCAAGATAATAGCAACAGCCAATCGGAAAACAATGCATGCGTCTTGTCTCCGTCGCAACGTACGTGTGTCTCGGATTGAACAGCCCACAAAATACTGTTCCGAACGCAAACATGCGTGCCAAAGAGGCCGTGACGTCGAATCCCTTGCAGCTCTGGCACGCAATGCGTGGGCACCAACTTGCCAACGCGAACGAGAGGCGACGTAACGAGATCGAGGGCTGGATCCGCTGGAAGTTCCATAGACAGGCCCTAGAAGTACGAGCCCTGAACCAACCAATACGCCCTTGGCCACGGCTGCGCTGAAAGCAAACCCTGTGGAGTCATGTTCTTAGCATGTCGCACGTGAGCAAGACAGGCGCACTCTCTCCTCCTCCTGCTCTTGCACTGGCATTTGCCCCGAATTGGGAGGCAGCTCAGCTCCCACTGCCACGGTAATCACAGCAGCCACCGGCGATGTGGTAGGCTCGGCTTTCGACTAGGTACTATCGAACAACGGCGTCCTTTGATAGTGGTGACGGTAGTGTAATGACGTGTTGTCGACGCTGGCACGTACTATAGCATGTTGTCGTTCTGTTGCGCGTTGACAAAGAATCCCGAGGAATAATATCTCAACGTTCCTCATTTGAAAACAGCGCTTTCGCTCCTGATTCTGCACCATGTCTTCAATTGTTGAGAAAACTCTTCAAGTATCCTTAGACACTTGGCGGAGAAGCGTCTCTCCGAAACGCCCGAGGGCGGCAGGCTTTCACAGCCACCAGACGGCAACAACACCCGTTAGGGCTTTGGCTTTGGTGACCTCTTAGTCTATCACGTGCAAACCGCTTGCACAAGGAACCAAGGAGAATACGTAACGACCACCAGAGTGAAAATAAATGTATTATTCCAACACAACTCTGCATCAGCTACTCCCCCTGCCAAACCGCTTGCTGTGTTTCGGAATCCTTGCACACACACAGAGCTACTATCCTGCGGCTCTGCAACCACCCCGTTTCTCCCCGAATCCTCCATACTCTTTGGAAGTCACGCCGCAGATGATCACAACAACCCGTCTTCGCCGCCTCGCACTCTAGGCCCCGCCCGGGGCAGACACGCCTACACAACACCAACTACCCTTCTCGTCGTCCTCGTGGCGGACAGGGCGGCGGAGACCGGGCGCGGGTCCCTCGCCGCGACCGCGAACGCCTCGCTCTTGGTGCTTTCACTATAGCATAGTGCCCACCACGGCCATGTAGTCGCGGATCTGTTGCACGGGGGGGGGAGGCGTGCGTCGCGGCAGTCGTAAGCGGACGGAATACCGGACGAGAAATGTGGGCGAGAGACGAAACGCCCAGGTCTTACTGGCGGGGGGGGGGGGTGCCTCGACAACGCAGAGACCTTCGGTGCTGAGACCAACACTAAGACCCTCTCGCAAGGCATGCGCGACACAGCGTGCTCCCTCGCGTTCGCCTAGCTCACCGAGTGCGCGCGCGCGCTCACACGCACGTGATGCTAAAAAAGAAGGAACAACGCGCGCATGCATCTCATGCCATCAAATAAGAAGCAAAAATACACAGCTTCTAGCCCCCATTACGAACCTTTCGGCAGCACAGTACCTGATACTTGGTGACGAGCCCGCCGGTGTTGTACGGGTCCTTGTCGACGAACTGTTGGGCCTTTTCGGGGCTGGAGAAGAGGAGGACGGCACCGTCGCAGGGCTCCAAGAACGCCCCCCCTGTGTGCGGGAAAAACAAACGACATTACTACGCTTGAGCCAAGCACTGTTTTGTTGAGTAAGAACAGGATCACTGTAGGGTTGTTAACGAGCCATAATCGACACAAAAATGTAGCGCAGTCTAGCAAAAACGGCAAAACGTAAACGTATTCCCTTGTACAGGGGTTTCTTTCACCCACGGCAAGGTTGTCGCAATAGCTCTTTTAGTACTGACCAACCGGATCACCAGATCGTCACCTAGCACAGAGACTGACCTATTTACCTGCCAGTCTCGCGGAGATGCACACAAAAATCCCCTTTTGTGAAGTCAGACAAATCGGCATCAACACGGTCTAGTGAGGAGCTTACCACACTCCACTTAGCTACATAGGCGCGGCAAATATCTACAGGGGGGGAGGACACGCAAATCGCCACCGGCCTCCACCGACAGGAGCAGGCGTCCAATACGACGTGCATGCTCACCAAGCAGGCATGTTCCCTCTTCCGTCATGGCCTTGAGCAAGTCCAGGTGGTCCGTTCGGTATGGCCCACGCTTGTCGACCATGCCATCCACATACGTGTACACAACCGCGGCGAGCTTTGCCGGTTCACCTATGATTGATTTGAACGGGCGGGGTGGGCGCCGGCGAAAAGCGACGGGGTTAGGTGTTGAGCATCCCTGGTTTAGGTGGTAAGCAACAACTGCAGTGAAGTACCCGACAGGGCTCTCGCCCATGCCGGGTGCATGCCGGCACATGGAAGACATCCAGCCGCTGCAGGAACGAGATCACAGTTGCGATGATACCATACACGACCATCATCCTACACAACACAGTAAATCGTAAATCAAGCTTGTCCACCATCGGTAGACACTACGGAATACTCGTGATAATGGGTAAAACTGGAGATCACAGCGGGTCATCGCTTTCTTAACCAAGGAGTAGATGTGCTGTCAGAAACCGCAGATATCTTGACACGAGAACCGGTAGCAGCGCGACGGTTGTTCGTTTCGTCCAGAGCACGTCATGGTCACATATCCACCAAGCAACAGACATCCCCAGCACTACCATCAAGCAGGCTCTGCTGGCAAATGTACGCCTGACTCCGTAGTTTTACACGCCGCAGATTCGGCCAAAGGGTTGTCCTTTGACAGCTAACTCGCGTGCGACCTCCTTACCTTTGGTCGCGCTCCCGTCCGCGCTCATGGAAAGGCTGCCGCTGCCGCTGCTGTTCGGTCGGGTGCTGCAACCGCGACTGTGCCCATCGATTTTCGATACAGCGGAGCCGCCGGCCAGCGGCAGCGAGGCGGACGGGGCTACGAACGCATCGCAAACGCCGGCGGTCAGGGCGACCAACGCCAGAGCAAGCCACGCTGCCGTTTGAATGTTGTGGGCGTTTGCAACAAGTCAAAACATAGTCCAAAGAGCGAGGCTGTGTGTTGAAGTGCCTCGGCAGGTGACATGTCGCAATACTTAGAAGTGGGTGTGTAACCAAAGAGCCACATCGTTGTCGTGCTGAGCATACATGTCGTTGTTGCCTGCATCGGCTATCGACGACGTGTCGAGATGCTCCGCCCGACATTCAGCAGTCTCCACATGTACGCTACAACCTTGACAGAAGACGGCTTATTGCATGGATTGGCGTGATGCACTACATACCCTGACTCGTTTTCCACCCAATGGCAAATAAACAGCAACAGAGTAAACCTCCTCGTCCACATAGTGCATCCCCTCTGGTCACAAAATCTCGCATGGTGGGGGTGTGTGGGGTGGCCCAGAGAGGAGGCGACCGAAACATCGTCGTTGCAGCTTCCTGCAGGATGCAAGATCGACCTCACCACTGAAGTTCCGCACGGTCCCTCGGCTTGCCACTCCAAGTAGCCCTGTACGCAGCGCGTGTGCCATTGTCCCAAGATAATCTAGTAGCAGGACGGAGATGCAGTGCTTGCGGGAGCGGTGAGCCCTCTCTCCTACTGCTGTCTCCTACACCCCGGGGATGATAGGGAAACATCCCCTGATTTCGACAGTCCCGTGTCCTACGTACATGCAGCATATTACAGCAGCGTCGGCTTGGACACAAATGCCATGTGGATCACGGCGTGGGCTTTGCCCTTCGCCATTTCCGCCACGCATGGCCTCCACTGCAGTGCGATAGCTACGCTGCCGAGGATTTCGTCACGAGGAAACCCGAGCGCCAGTGTGAGGAAGCCAACTGGCAGGAACAGGAGCAGGAGCAGCTCCTTGAATCATGCCGCAGCAGTTGTAGCAGCTTCTCCCCGTAGGCCGCCGCTGCAAGCACCCTTTACCGTTGCGATCCTTCTAGAGTCTCTTGGAGACGTACCACAGCGAACCTTGCGGCACCTAGCTGGAAGCCCTCCGGCTTCCCAGCTCGAGCTGACCCTGTCCGGGAGCGGGGCTCGGGCGTCGCGAGCCCAGGCGAAGCTGCGAGGGCTGCTGGAGGCGGTGGAATCGGTAGTGGTTGGGGCGCAGGAGAAGGATGATGGTCTTGCTTCTGCTGCTACGAGGGTGGTGGCAGGGTGCCCAGCGTTGTTGCTGCTCGATGGGAAGGAGTTGCTGAACCGGGGTACGCAGCTTCGAGACATGGTGAGAGTTTGATGTGTATATGTCGTCATGTAAACTACTGCTGTACCGAGACGCGTTGCTACATACAAGTTGAGGTTGTGCTTTCATCTTTCGGTAGGGAGGTCGCACAAGCGAGGTGCGGGTACTATAAAGTGGCTTCCCACATTGTTACCTTCTCCTACAATACGCACCCCATCAGAAATGAAGTCATCGGTGACAGCTGAAACCCTTGGGGTGTCACTCGCAGCCTCCACTTATAACCTTGTGTGGTGGAAAATGGACGATGAGGCCGGTTGCGATCGTCTGTAGGTTCGTCAGATTGAGACATGCTTACACGTGATGACGTTTTTTGCTTGCTTGGTTGCGTGATGGGACGCTGGCTTGACGCAGGAAGGAGTCACGGAGGAGACTGCCGCACAGCTGGCGGTCGAGTACCCGGGGTACTTCACCTTGCCACCCGCGGCGAGAGCGAGAATCGGCTTCTTCGTCGGGAAGGTGCGTTTCGAACTCAGGGGCGTCGATGTACGGCGCTTACTCGTGACGCATGAGGGAGCTCTCCCCTTTTCTTGGGCTGATGGAAGCAAGCGCAGTTTTTGCGTTGTGGCGTCATCCCCCGCTTGCAAAGAGAGTTTGTTTGATTCGTTCTGCCTGTTGTCATGCAGCCACAATGATGGGCAGCGCAGAACGAATAGGAGAATAGGGGGGTCATCATACTCGTTTCGGTGTTTTCCTGGATGTTCACGGTGTGCTTGGTCTGGGCGTGCATGAGACGCGCACCTCCGGGGATTATGTGAACATGTTTGTCGACCGTGTTGTTGCGGTGGGGCTTGGAATATGTCACCCCAAGCTCTACCCATTTCACCTCAAATCATCTCAACTCAACCGGGTATCTACATGGGTTGGCGTTTGGGAATGTCCTGCGCTTGAAACTTGCGGTAATACCCTGCCAGGCTCATTTTGGCATGTCTTCAAAAACCTGAACAGGTCGGGCTGACGGCGAAGGATGTGGGTAGGCTGGCGAAGCGACGTCCGGACGTGATAGAAAACATCGGCGGAGGGCATGTTCGCCGACTCGTGGACTTGTTGTTGGAAGACCTCCACGTTGGCAAGGTGATACCGTGGCGTGGGACGTGGCCACTTTGCCCCCGCAGATGTTCTGCTGTGCCCGCCCCCTCCCCTCCGACACGTTCTTTGGGCTTATCACAGCAGGCACACCACCGTTCTTGTAATGTGCATCGGGTGTTCGGGGGGGGGGCTGTACTCATCATCCAGTGTTTGGAGGGGGGGGGGGGGGGGGTGGCGG